AACCTAATCTATTCCACATACCTCAACTAAATTGATCATTACAAAATACCATTTAATTTCTGCCACTCCCTGCTAACATTTCCCCAGTGATGCTTTCTGTGCTTGACCATTACAAACACATTAGCCTTCTGTGTATGTGCTTCAGCCTACCCAACAAAGTTTAATTTGCATTTTTCCCAAGCTGATTCTTCTGAAATTAGACTTCGGTCATATACATCTTCTTTCTTCCCTCACTTGACCCCAGAGCCTCTGATTATAGGAACTTATATATCCTACAGCTCTAGCATCAAGCACAGGGTCTGATATATTGTAAACAAGAAATATTCCTGATTCTATTCCCACATCTGTCACTTTATTACACATTTTCTCTGCCTACGAATCTCCTCCATGCCTGTCTATCCAGACCTCTATTTCCTCTAGTCTTCGCTCCTCTCCAAAGTGGCCTACACTTAGGATCTCTTCCTTCATCCAATTTCCCGACACTAAAAAATCCCAACTTTCCATCTATCCATAGCTCCCGGCACGGGCAGCTATGGAATTAGCACAGTACTGACTCTTGAGATAAGAACACTCCTTCCTCTTAAGCATGCACAGCTGCTATCATCCTCACACATCCTTCACAGCTTCCTTATCCTGGGTTTGAGGAATGTATCATCCTTGACTTGGGATTTTTCCCAAAGTTAGATGGCTTAGGAACTAAAGAGCAGAAGGAACAGCGCATGGAGCCTATGCTTAGCGAGCACAAGGTCCTAAGTCTGTCTTAGCACCAAAAGAAAAGAAGCCAGAAAAAATGAGCCAAATTCTAAATTAATAAGCCCGAATATAAGATCTAAGTACAAGCCTAAATGCATAAGGCTTTCTAGGAAATTTCAGATGAGTTTTGTAATCCAAGATTTTATTCTGAAATATTTTTGGAAATTGAAAAATGATGCTAATCAAGTACAGAAAAAAATTGGGAAGAAGATGGAGAAAACATTCATCGGTTATTACTCAGAAGGAAAACCTTCCCTCACACAGACTCTAGAAACCACAAGCCGCCTCTGCAGTGCTGGTGAGTGACGGAGTCCTGGGGACAACACAGGAATTCCTGACTCCTGGACGCCAAGTCTCACAGCCATTGGAGGAGTTTCCTACCAGCTTCCACGGTGGGCTGTTGTCATATTCAGGAATTTTGCAAACCAAGTGTGAAACCATCAGTGGCTTGAAATCACCCAGTAGATGGGTATTTTCATGGAAACTGGCAAATGCTACAATCAAAGCTCTTTTTTCTCCAGAGTTTTCCAGTAAATCACTGGCCGCACACGTGCATGCAAACAACATACAGAGGAGGCAGAGAGACAGCACACTTGTGATCACCACGGCAGTGACGAGGGCTCACAGCACATGACAGCGCCCCTCCCGCGCTGTGCCGGGACCAGCTGGGACCAGCGGCAGAGCCAACCGGGCCTCGTCCCTTCCTGACTCTGTAGGCGGTAGCTTGGAAGCTGCTGTGATCAGAGCACTTCCCCGGGACCCGGATATTTTACGCAGGGGCCTCAGTGGTCTCACGCCAGACACCGCCAAGGAGGTGGGAGGCGCTGTCCTGTGAGGGTGTGTCCGCCCGGAACCGTGCTGAGCAGAGGAGGAAGTGGGAGACCCGGGTGCAGTGCAGCACAGCCAGGCTGCGCTCACAGGGCCGGGATGCAGGGTGCAGCCTGGCTCTGTGCTGGGAGCGCGGGGAAGCTGGCGGCGAGTTCCCTCGGAGGCCGCTGCTCTCACACACCTAAGATAGGTAGGCCACAGTCATGGAGATGCCCTGGCTCATGGTCTGGAGGCTGGAAGTCTAAGACTGACAGCTCTGCACCCAGCAGGGGCTTCCGTGTTGTCCATCCGTGCGTTAAGTGGAAGGACAAGAAAGGCGGACAGAGAGAAAGGGGGCCAAGCGCACCCCATTGTACGGAGCCCACTCCTCAACGATGGCATCACTGCTTTCAAGGGCAGAGCATCTGAAACACTCTCAGGACGGTAACTGCGTGTCATAATCATACTCAGTCTCCGGGCGAACCAGAGTCGTGACCAGTTCGATCATTTCACTTCAGTTTTTGTTTATTTTGGTTGGTTGATTGGTTTGCTTTTTCTGTTGTGGTTTTGGTTTTGGTTTTTGAGACCGGGTCTCACTATGCAGCCCAGGCTGGGCTCGAACTCTCACAGTCCTCTTGCCTCGGCCTCCCGAGTGCTGGGATCACAGACGTGCACCACCACGCCAGACTCACTTCAGTTTCTTGAGAAGCAGGGACTGTTTGGACCACACAGCACCCTTGTCATCCATCAGCAGCTACTTCCTAACCCAGCAGGCTGTGGCATGGGAGCCGGGGCATGTCCACTGCAGCACTACTGAGGCAGGGGAGAGAGGCAGAGAGAGAGACAGAAAAACTAAGAAGGGCACCAGAAGTGAGCTGTGGAAGAGTGAGTGTCTATGCATCATGCACGGGGCCTCCATGACGTTCTGCAATCACACCCTGCATGTGCCTCTACCACGCTCCTGTCTGTCCTACAAGTCCCAGTCCTCAGGGCAAGCACGAAGGGACGGTGGCCACCAGCTTCCTGTACCCTGTCCACAAGGAAGGAGGAAACAGCTCTACACCTAGGTTCAGAGGCAATCATTAGTTCTGAATCCCAGGGTTCCCTTCCCTGGGGGAAGAGCTGACCAGTGAGTTAATTTTCCAGATTTGCTGGCAGAAGCAAAAATCCAAGAATTGAAGGATGACAAGGAAACCAATCCCAACAGCAAGCTGTGGGCCAGGAGAGGCAGAGGACAGCTTGAATAGGAAGGGCCGAGAATACCAAGGCTCCCAGCTGGTCCACTTCGGAGGCCAGGGACCATTGTCTTTCTGCATAAATCTAACAGCATCTGCAGCCTCTCACTTAGGAATAAAGACTGCAGCTCTGTCTCCATTTCGAACACCCACTGGTCCTAAGCCAAATGTAAATGGTGGGCAGAGTATTACTTAAAGTTCAGTAATCTTCGTGCAACATAACTTCGGCACTGAAACCAAAACCCCTTGGAAGCTTCTGCTTCGTAGCCAGGAGTGCTGCCAGTCAGGTGGGTTCTGTCGCCTTTGCAGCTTCCAGTGGTGTTTTCCAGCATGGGATTGTGATGTCTGCAGTGCTGAGTGTGAAGTGATTAGACAATAAAACCTCGAGCTAATTTGTAGATGGAGAGGGATTACACCATCCCGGGAAGCACTGAGTCCTGCCCTAACTGGGGAGGGAGGGAAGGATCTCTTTTCCCTCCATCTCTAGAGAGAGCAGGAAGCAACTCTTCCAAAGGAAACACAGCTTCTGCTGGGGAAACTGAGGCACCAATGTCATCTCCAACCCAGAAGCTGGCATGTCAGGGGCCCAACCCATGACAGCCAGAATCAGCACGCTGACTTCTTTCCTATGGCTGTGACAGGGAGAAGCACCTGAAGGGATGGCTGCTCCTGCCTCGGAAGGGTTCGGCTGGAGGGGACAGGTGATCGTGTCATTAAGCAAATCTGCAAAGCCCTCGAGACGGGACAGACTTCTTTATGTTCTCATGGGAGAGCCAAGGTGGCCTTTTGGGGCTCAGTCCCCAAAGGCTGTCCATCCTGCCTTCTTTTCACCCAACTTCAAGGGCTCAGAATGTGATGATTTTAACCTGGGTGTGGTGGTGCACGCCTGTAAGCACAGCACTTGGGAGGCTGAGGCAGGAGGATCGCTGTGAGTTCCAGGCCAGACTGGGATACATTAGTGAGACTGTCTCAAAAAAAAAAAAAAATAGAATGTGATACTTGGTCATTATACTCTCATAGTAGGAGAGAGCGAAAAGCGAATCGGGAAAGCAAACCCCACCCTGTCAACCTTGGAAGACTTAAGAACCAACTAGAGGAGTCAAGGAGGGCTCAACAAAGCAAGAGTCTGCTTCACTTTCTATTGTTTTCCATTTGAAAATTTAGACAAGTCAGATTGTATGAGAGCAGAAGTTGAAGGAAATGCCCTGGAGGCCAGAGGCCAGCACCTCGGCACAGAGTGGACTGTGTGCCGAGAACACAAGGTTGGCAGATGCTTACCAGCGAGTGAGTGTCCGCCCCTCCTGTCCCAGCTGCACCTGTGACTGTGACTCCGGTGTGACCCGGGGTGGGGGGCGCACAAGGCCAGCGCCTCTCGGGTCTGGGCTGACCAGACTGGCTCCTGTCTGGTGCCTCTCAGGGCCAAGCACCCTGAAACCTCAGGTCCCACATCCCGGGGACCAGTGCTCACCTGGGGGGTTCAGACATCTGTGGCTTAGGAGGGCTCAGAACACACAGCAAGTCCCCAGGGCTCCAGGTCCCTGGGCACTAGGACCGAGAGGCTGAGCAGTTTCCGGGCGGCTCGGATCAGGGAAAGGAGCCCGGGGGGTACTAGGGACGGCTGGGGAGAGGAGAGCAAGCCGAGGCGCCCAGCCAGACCCCTCAAATCCGAGTATCATCCGAGGCACACATGTAATTTGTCACTCACGACCTAAAAGCCTGTGCTATTCCACATGCGGTGTGTGTGTGTGTGAGACACGGTGGGGGGGTGGGGGGTGGAGCAGGCTCTGGTCAGTGAACAAAAAGCACGTCAGCACCGCTACTGTTTCTACTTTAGTGCCGCGTGAGTACAAATCTGTAAGCTGTTGCTGGCTTCCTCCAGGGGGTCATCTTGGTCTTCATTCCAAAACAGCACAGAAGTAGAGCTCAGCACAGCAGAGCACACCTTTATTCCAGCACCCAGGAGCCTGGGGCAGGAAGGTCACCAGCCTGGGCTACACAGTAAGTTCAAGGCTAGCCTAAACTACACGATGAGACCCTGTCTCAACACAAACAATCAGCAGGCCTGGAGGCACAAGCCTGTAATCCCAGCACTGGGGAGGCTGAGACAGGAAGATTGCTGTGAGTTTGAGGTCACCCTGGGCTACATAGTGAGTTCAGGACCAGCCTGGACTACACAGTGAGACCCTGGCTCAAAGGGGAAAAATTTCATTTATCAACACACACAAGCAAGCAAACAAACAAAAAGCATAGGTGTAATAATGTAATAAAAAAAATACCAAAGAGATTAATGAAATTTAAAATATTCTCTTAAAAGTTACTGAGTCTCATAATAACTATGTGAGAAGAAGCAGTTACAAGAGCAGAAATAGCAGCATGAAGAAGGAACAGAAAGGATGAAAAAGGAAGGAAGGGAAGGGAAGAGTGGAAAGCTGGCTGCCTGACTTACTGCAATCACAAGATCTGATCAAAAACTACTATGAATGATTGCATCTTTTAAAATTTAAAAATTATTCCAGGAAAGGACACTTTGCCATGAATCCCCTTTAAAGTCCTCCCCCTCAGTTCCAGCGCACTCATCCCATGGTCCTGGCCACTTCCTGCAGCAGCTCTGGAGTCCTCTTTTCTGAGGGTCTTTAGTTGTGCTGTGTGGCAGCCTCAATCCTGAATCCATCACGACGTCTCCCTTCACAGTCACTTTGACTTTGGGACAGAGCCAGGGGTCCTGCAGTGCCAGAACCGGAAAATAAAGTGGATGAGGACATAGCGAGCTCACCATAAGTGTCTGATTATTGCAGGATTATCACTCCAGTGAGTGCGTCGGTTTAACAGTGTGTTACAGTGGAAGACACATTGCCGTTAACCCCACACAAAACACTGCCCCAGCATCGCACACACTCCCCCCAACTCCGAAATGTGTCTTTGGCCACCGTGAGTTTTTTTCAAACCAAACGTGTACTGTACCTTCCCGTCACTACTGGTGACATCTCCCAAGCTGCCCCAGCAAGTGCTCCTGGGCTGCAGTCCAGATCCACGTACTTCTTCTGGCTCCCCAGTAAGAGCTGCTCCACCAACCCCAAGGAGACTCGTTATCCTCACAGATCTGAGCGGTAAAATTGCTCACAGGCTGACATTGAGCTTGGGAAGCAACAGAGGCACACACAATAAGTAATGCACAAGTCCAGAACCAGAGACAGGTGGCTGTGCGCACCCTCTTAGCAGGGGCCCCAGTTTTCGTGGGTGCAGGCATAGTAAGAGCTCCCAGGAAGAATGGGCCGTGCGTGGCATGCTTTCCTCCTGACAACTCTGAGAGCACGGGAAGGGAGATCCCTCCCACCTCATCCTCAGTCCAACGCTGGTGCCGCTCAGCCAGCCTGTGACTCACCCTGGAAATCGCCCAGGATGCTCATCTGCAGGGATCCTGCTGCTCCAGCGGGCATTTCAAATCCTGCCTGCCCATAAAGAAGGTGAAAGGAGCCAACTGCCAGCAAAAAATTGTTTTAAAAAAGTAATGGATTTGGCTAATTTTCTTTTCCAGGAGTATTTACTGTAGTGAGAATAGGCCCCCATGGATGAAGAAAAATTCAACATTTGAATCCCTCTCTTGAATTTGGTCTGTTTCATCTCTCTGTGTCCTGGGCAGTTTCCTTTGCATAGATATGCATGCTTTGTGTGTGCAGTGCACCCTCAAGTTACAACAGGCCTGACATACAAACAATTGGGGTTATGACCACAATTTTAGTTTTAACTTATGACCAACGTGCTTGTGCTTCCAGATGGTGTCAGATACAGACTGACCCATAAAGACTTCCAGAAGGAACATGACAGCATCCTTTCCTGTGTGGGGTTCATTGGAAATCCTGGGCCAATGTCTCTCTAAGGACACTGAGATCTGCCTGTGTACAGGAGAGAGACTTTGAAGGCTGTGTAAAGGAGCCTGAGCCTTCATTGACCAACTTGAGTACAACCAGCCCTCACGAACAGATTGAGTTTGTAAGTCAAGGGTCCACTGTGTTTTAATCATGTTCCCCTCTGTTCCCAGCGCCCACTCCCATTCTGGGGGTTGGAGCAGCATGCAACCAAGTTGTAAACCTGGTCTGTCCTTTGTGGCAGGAAGTGTAGGATAAATAAAGGATGGCATCTCCAGAAGCCCTGGGGAATCCTACTGACTGGCTGAAGAGCTAAATCCTCTGTAAGGAATTAGCCAACTGAACTGGCTGAGGAGCCAAAAGGAAACCTTCGAGGTGACGAATTCAGCTTTGGAACCCAAGTACCACCACCCTGCAAATGGACCCTTTCCTGTTGACCTTGGATATTGTAGCTCTCCTCCCCTGCTTCACTTTTCTGAGAATCACTGTGGAGGCATTTCTACCACTCTCCTGGAGGAAGCAGCCCGAGGTAACCTGCTTCCCTCCTCGCTGCCTTCCTGGCCCTCGGAAGCATGGATCCGCAGGCCCCCCTTACCCTCAGTACAGCGCCTGCTTCTCAGGACTTGCTTGACTGAGTTTCCCTGGTGTTGGAGGTGCAGACCACTCCCCCTTGAGCATTTTCTCTTCCGATGCTCTTTCCTCATCTCAGAGCTTCAGCCCTTAGTCTTCTTGCCTGAATCCTCCTCCACCATCCTCTAACACAGGAGCTCTTGTATTTTCCACCTCATCATGGGTGGTTTCATTCTTTCTCATGTTTCCAGTGTCACCGCTATGTAACTTCCGCATGGGCGTCTCCACCCTGGGCCTCCATCCTGTACCCCTGCACCCTCCCTGCCCACCTGGATTTGGGCGCTGGCCATTGGAGCAATCTTGGCTCCCTCCCGCCACTGAACTCCCACCTCCATTGCCCACTGTGTCTTCCCCATGCTGTGCAAGGAGCCGGCCTGCCTCTCAGACAAGAGGAGCCTGAGGTAGGGGAGTCCCCACCCCTGCAGGGCAGCTCCCAGGGAGTCTGTCCTCCCCAAAGTCCCTCTGCCCTGAGCACTGGCCTCAGGAAAGGACACTTGGGCTCCTCCCACTTCTCCCATGGCCCCTTCCCGGCTCAGCCCCTCACAGGGTGGGGCCACTCCCCAGACAAACCACCCAGGCCAGACTTCCTCTTTCCTGACAGACTTTGTGTCTCAGAGCAGTGTTAGGCTCAGGAGATCTGAGCAGAAGGCGCTGAGAAGCCCTGTCCACCTCTTGCCCCCACGCCTGCCCAGCCAGCCCCTCATCAACGCCTACAGCACAGCAGCAGCGGGCTGTTGAAAGCGGTGAATGGGGACACATCCTTAGCACCCGGTGAGGTCACCCACGTCTACACCGGAGTCCCCCACGAAGCCGAGCATTCTGGGCTTGGACACGCTGACCATGACATGCACCGTCCAGCACGGTGTCACAGAGTCCTCTCACCTCCCAAAGCCCTCTGTGCACCTCCACCTCTGCCCAAGGCCCCTGATCCTTTCACTGTCTGCGCTGCTGTGACATTTCCAGAACACAGTGTGTCGGGGCTCACACAGCAATAGCCTCACTCTGGCATCTTCCACTTGGGCACACATAGTACCCATCTCCATGTGTGCTCATGGCTGGAGAGCTCATTTCCTTTCGTTCTGAGTGGATTACACTGCCGAGATGTACCCCATTATCCAGTCCCCCGCTGAGGGACACCTTGGCCACTCCCATGTTAGGCAGTCAGGAATAAACTCACCGTGACATCTGCGCACAGATGTCTGTGTGGACCTAAGCATTAGCTCCTCTGGACAAATACTAAGCATCATGGTGCCAGGCTCTGAGCAGAAGGTGTCCCCTCCTGTAGAGAGCAGCTGGCTCCCTTCCGGGGTGGCTGCGCCGTGTGCAGCCCCAGCAGCAGGGATTTGGGGGTCCTGTTGCTCCCCATCCTCACTGGCCTCTCAGGGTTTGGGGTTGTGGCCGTTCCAGTGAGAATACAGTTGCAGCCCTCTGTGCTTTAATTTTCATTTCCCCAATGCTGTAGGAAGTGAGGCATCTTGCCATTGGATGCTTGCAGTGAGGTGTCAGTTGAGAGGTTTTTTAGCTTTGAAAAATTGTTATTAGTCCACATTTGCAGTGCATAACGGTCATATTCTTCATGTGAAGTTGATCTGTGCATGTAACACGTCTATCTTAGCTCCTTTACACCCTCTCCCTCCCTTCCTACCTCTTGGTCCCCTCCCTTTTGCAAAAGATCTGTCACCAGTCTCCTACGATCTCTTTTGTTTTGCTCTTTACACTTTGGGCTTCTCATGTGAGAGAAACCATGTGGTATTTAAACTGTGTGTCTCATTTATTTCACTTAACAGTAGGGTCTTGAGGTGCATCCATTTCCTGACAAATGAACATGAAGATCTTTGATGTTTGTCTTTGCCATGTGGGGAACCAAACAACCCAGGGCCTTGCACCGAATACTGGGTAAACACTGCCATGGGGCTCCACCTTTAGCCCCACAACCTTCCTTTTCTTTCTTTTTTCTTTTTTCGGTACTGGGAATCGAACTCAGGACCTTGTACTGGCCAGGCAGGCAAGGTGCCACCGAGCTAAATCCCCCATCTGTGCAACCCATTTTTAATGGTCCTCAGGTTCTTGTTTCAGGCACTGCCTTTAGTGAAGCCAAATTCTTAAAATAGGGTCTCAGAACTAGATTGTCTCCATTTGGATAGTATCTGTGATGACGGCGGGGTTCACTGTGGAGATCACAAGGGTGGGGGTTTACTGGGCTTTGCGGTTTGCCTTTAAAACTTTGAAAAGGTAGAGTGCAGGACAGGACAGAACCCCAGGGCAGGTGCAGCCAGGGGGCTTCCTGGAAGGGTGGCAGGGCCCTCGCTCCTGCTCGGGGCAGGGTCTGTACTAAGAGCCAGGCCAAATGCTGAACCCTTGAAGAAACTGGCTGTGCAGCCTCGGGTGGTCCCCTGGGTAAAGACCCCCCATTAAAGGGCAGTAGTAGGATCCTGAGACCCAATATGGGGTTGCTTAAATGGTCTCATTGAATATGATTACACCTCTACCCAGGTGTGATGACGCAACCCTGAAATCCCAGCCCTCAGGAGGCTGAGGCAGGAGGATCACTGTGAGTTTGAGGCCAGCCTGAACTCCATAGCGAGACCCTGTCTCAAAAAAAAATGGATCTTGTCAGGTCTCCCAGATCTGCAGCAACTCCTGCCTGCCAGGAAGGAGCCTCAGTACCGGAAGGGGCGTGCAGACCCGGCCCACAAGGATGTCCCTTCTGCAGCCTCAGCACTGCTCCCCTTGGAGTTTCCAGGCCCTCAAGTGGGGTTCTGGCTCAGGGCGCAACACAACACCACTGCCCTGTTCTCAGGGCCTGGTGGGCTCTGGGGCAGGTGGTGCCCAAACCCGACGAGGGCAGCATTGGCCTTGGGTTCTCTTCTGGGCCTCGGGGTCTGAGGTCTGCCAGAGTCACCTGCGCCGCTCACCGGGAGCTGGGTCCTTCATGAAACGCTACGGTCACCATGCCCGAGGTCCTAATGGTGCGGATCCTGAAGCTGCATGGGCAGAGGCTGGAGCCAAGGGAGGGGAATTCATCTTCACTGCACTCCTGCAGGAGGCCCGTTTTTTTTGGGGGGGCGGTTTAAGAGAGTCGGTCCCCATGTAGTCCAGGCTGGCCTCGAACTCGTGGCAGTCCCCCTACCTCAGCCTCCCGAGTGTTAGGATTACAGGTGTGCACCAGCACACCTAGCCTGAATTTTTTTTTTTAATTAGAGACCAGGTTGTAACCCTTGATAGTCAAGGTGGAAGTAATTACTGTAACAGGCAGCAAAGCCACAGTAATGATCAGATTTGTTTCACTATGGTTTTGTGGGGGGTTGGGGGGTTTTGTCATTGTTGCTGTTGTCGCTGTTTTATACTAGGGATTGAACCCAGGGATTCGCACTGAGCTGCACCCCATTTATTTATTTATTTATTTAGACTTTTGTTCAGTTGCCCAGGCTAGGCTCAAACTTGCAGTCCTCCTGCCTCAGCCTCCCAGATGTGCTGGGATGACAAGCCTGTGCCACCACGCCTGATGACTTCAGATGGGATTCTCAGGAGTGAGAGGTGGGCAGTTGACTGTGGTCATTACCTGAAGGACCTGCAGCCACTTAGCAGACTCCTTGGTGTGTGGGACATGAAATGCCTGCAGTCAGGGTGGGCTTTATCGGTGGAGGCTGTTGCCCATCCTTGTGTGTGCAGGTGGGGTGGACACAGACTGAGCAGCCCACAGTACCGGAGTTGTGCAACAGGAGCCCTTGTGACCCAAAGGCCAGAGAGGAGGCCCTGGCGCTGCCCCTGCCCACCCGGGAGCTGCATCCACAGCCCACATACTTGGAAACGCTGGCCACGCCACATCAGATGAAGACGCGGGCCCAGTTAACACAGTTAGGGCCAGGGTGTGTGTCGGGGTGCTGTGTTTGCAGGAAGTGATCAGCGCCCTGGCCCGAGGCAGCCTTCAGCACGCAGCTGTCCTCCTGCGACCCTGCAGGGATGGGGCCCCCATGTTGGCATGGGAAGCACAGCTCTGCATCTCCAGTCCCAGTCCCAAGCCCAGCTATTTCTCTGTCCTCTGCTGAAAGGCAGCACAAAGGGAAGAGGGCGTCCTGGCTTTCGGCAAGCCCTGTGCCAGGCTGCTCGGCTGAGGCCCTGGGAGATGCAGGAAGTGGGAGTGCTCTCGTGGCCACGGCAGGACCACCTTGTCAGTGCATTGCAGAGAACAAACATAGAGAGCTAGAGCCCGCCATGCATTTTGAAAGCTTCTAGGGCAACAAAGGCCTGGCCCACGTGGGATGTGGCCTCCTGTGCTCACCTCACAACTTGTCACTAAAGTGTCATGGCCCTGGCGGGGGGGGGGGGGGCTCTTGGGCCTTGCCCTGCTCAGGTCAGTGCCTCCCTTCTCTGCCCACAGGCCCAGATCCCAGGGCCCAGCTCTGCAGTTCTTCTGGAGGACTCGGCCTCCGGCCCAGGTGTGGGGGAGACCGGAAGTTCACATCTATCAAGAGTAACCCACGCTGGTGGCCCCAGTGCTGCTGGACACCCTGCAACCTCCCAGCCTGAATTCTGACCCCTGAGTATCACAGATCGCCCAAACCTCTCTGGGAGGGTTAAGCGTCAGCTGTCCCTGTGGTAACCTGCTTGGACATTTTATCTTCACGGATGCAGCTCACAGAGAGCTGAGAGAGCAGTGTGCAGCAGCAAACACCAGTATTAAAAAAGAAAAAGATCCTCAAATCAATAACCTAAACTTCTGCGTAAAGGAACTAGAAAAAAGCTGGCCGTGGTGGGGTATGTCTGTAGACTGGGGCAGGAGGGTCATCTCCAGTTCAAGGCGAGGCTGGGCTACAAAGCAGGACCCAAGTCGCACGAAAGAAAGAAACTAGAAAAAGAACAAACTAAATCCAAAGCAAACAAAAGAAGGAAGGAAATAATAAAATTAAAATGGAAGTAAATGAAATAGAAAATAGACAATGCCATACTTGGAAAAGATCAGTGGAACTGATAAAACTTTAAAAGAAGCAAAGAAGAAATTACTAAAACAAGAAATGAAGGAAGGACCCTAACCACAAACCTTAGGGGGAAAAAAACAGGGTTTTAAGGAAGTACTGTGACAGATGGATACCAACAAATTAGATAATTTCAATCTACAACTTTTTATGAACATAATACTGAATCTGCCTCACCCAAAAATAGAATCTGCCTCACCCAAGTAAATAAATGGGATTAGGGATTTTAAAACTTCCCACAAAGAAAAGTCTAGGTCCAGATGTTTCCAGTGGTAAATTCCACCAAATATTTATGGAGAATTAATAGGAATCTTCCAAAATGAAGAGGAGGGAGCATCTCCAACCTTGTTGTAGGAGGCCAGCATTATCCTTATATCCATACCAGCAAAGGGAATCGAAGAGAACGATTAACTTAGAAACAAAACTCCTCAATAAAATATGAGCCAAGTAAGAGAAAGGACTGAAGAGCTGATTCTCTATGAGCGCATGGATTTACCCAGGAACATAAGGTGGTTGTGAAATCTGAGAAATCTATAACGTAATATCCAGTTTTTACAGAAGAAGAAACAAAACCACACAGTCATTTCCCCATGAGGCAGAAAATGCATTTAACAAAAATCTAGCAACCTTTCATGATAAAAGTATTAACCAGGAACAAAAGGGAATTTCCTCAACCTGATAATGAGCACCTGGAAGAAACTGCTGCTAGTGTCCTAGTTGGTGGGGGAGACTCGACGCTTTTCTCCTTGAGAACAGGAACAACAGCAAAAAGCAGAGCCAGAGGTAGTTCCATCCCCAGCACCTGAAACAAAACAAAGCAGGATCGGGGAACAAGCCAGAGTTCTTGACCCCTGCTGCTTCTATTTAACACATACTGGAGGTTCTAACCAGGGCAATTCAATAAAACAAAATAAAATCCAGGTGTGATGGCCCACACTTATAATCCCAAATCCCAGTTACTCAGAAGCCAGAGGCAGGAGGATTGCAAATTTAAAGCAAGCCTGGGAAATTTAGCAAGACTTTGTCTCAATTTTGGGGGCTGCGGTAATAGACATTAAACCCAAGTCCTTTGGACTGAGCTACATCCTTAGCCTTTTTTTTTTTTAATCTTGAGACAAGGTCTCATTAAATTGTTAAATTGCTGAAGCTAGGCTGTAACTTGGGATCTTTCTGCCTCAGCCTCCCATAATGCTGAGATTACAGCCATGAGGCACCACACCTAGCTAATGGAGAAAATGTTTGAAAGGGGAAATAGGCTAGAGATGTAGTTTAGTGGTCATGTTTGCTTAGCGTGTATAATCCCACTAAAGAAAAGAGAAAGAGAAAAAGAAAGAGAAAAGAAAGGAAAGAAAGAAAGAAAAAGAGCAAAGAAAGGAAAGAAAGAATGAACAAACCCAGAGTGGAAAGAAACTCTCTATTATCAGGTGATATAACTTTGCATATAGAAAATTGGAAAGAGTTAGACAGCTTTATGCCTATAACGCCAGCACTGGGAGACCGAGGCAGGAAAGTTCTGGGCCAGCTTGGGCTATGTGGCTAGCCCAGATCTCAACAAAACAAAATAAACAGACATGCAGAAAATAGGAATCCAGAAGAAATAATAAAGCTTAAGATTCCATGATGTAAGATTAATATACAAAATCAGCTGGGTGCGGTAGTTCCAGTACTAGAGAAGCTGAGGCAGGGAGATCACTTGAGCTCAAGAGCTCAAGACCACCCTGGGTGATATGGTAACACTGTACCCAAAAGAAAAGAAAAATATAGAAAAAGTGTAATATTTATGCATACATATGTATGTATATATAAAGTCATTATAATTTGGTACCAGCAAGGAGCAATCTGAAAATGAACTAAGACAATAATTCCACTTACAAGTACACGCAAAAGAATTAAATGCTTAGAAATAAATTAAGTGCAAGACATATACATGGAAAACTAGAAAGTGCTGAGAGAAAGATTAAATGTTAAGACATAACACGTTTGTGGGGCGGAAGACTCAACACATTGAAACATCAGCACTGCCCTGTATCTACAAATTCAGCAAAACACCCGCTAACACCCCAGCCAGCTCCTTTGCAAACACTGACAAAGTGATCCTAAATTTACATGGAAATTGAAGAGATCCAGAGGAGACAAAATAGTCTAGGAAAAGAAGACAAAATTGAGAGGACCAGCGCTTCTCAATATCCAAGTTACAGGTCAAGGAATAGAACAGAGTCTGGAAACAAAACGTGGAGAATCAGGGATGGCAAAAAAAATGTAAGACAGAGGGAATGGTCTCTCCAACAAACAGTGTTGGAACAACCGGACACTCAAATGCGGAAGAAGCATAGAGAAGGGCCCAGGGATGAGCTCAGGGTACAGCTCATGCTGAGGGTGCGGGAGACCTGAACGCCCCACATGAAACACAGAATCAACTCAGAATGAATCACTGACCTAGATATGAATGCTAATGCTATGAAACTATAAATGAATAGAATGAATGAATGAATAAAGACAATGTGGTGTTTCTACACAGTGGAGCACTACTCTGCCATAAAGAAGGATAAGCTTGAGTCATTTGTAGGAAAGTGGATGCACCTTGAGGCCATAATGTTAAGTGACAGAAATGACACACAGGCTTAAATGTTGGATGGTTTCTCTTATATGAGAAAGCCAAAGTATATATAAAGAGCAAAATAAAAGACAGATAATAGGAAACAGGGAGATAAGTGTTTTGCAAAAGAGAGGGGGCTGAAGAGAGGGAGGGAGGGGAGGGGGTAAGGGGATGAAAGAAGGGACTGAGGTGTGTCGTGTGCACAGGCCGACTCCCCGTGAGGGGTGTAACACGTACTGCAAGCATTTACTAATAAAAGCTATTTTTTAAAAGAAGATTGATTGTACTGGAGGTTGAACCCAGTGCCTTCACACTCAGCTACATCCTCAGCCCTTTTTTAAATTCTGGGACTGGATCTTGCTGAGTTGCCCAGGCTGGGCTCCAGTTTTCCATCCTCCTGCTTCAGCCTCCCAGAGTGCTGAGATTATAGGCATGTGCACCAACACACCTGGCTGGGAGAAAATTTATGAGAAGATCTTCGTGACCTTGGGGTAGACAATGATTTCTTTTTTAGATACCACACCAAAAAGCACAATGAGAACAGAAAAAACATTGTAAATTGGGCTTTTTCAAAGTAATATCTCTCATTCCTCAAATGTTAGCATTAAGAAAATGAAAAGGCAACTCTATTGGTGAATTTCATGTGTCCTCTTGCTAAGAGCTCTGTTGTGTGATCAAACATCAACTTGAGGGCCAGGGATTTAGCTCAGTGGCACCACCACCTGCCTCAAAAGCTCAAGGTGCTAAGTTTGATCCCCGGTACCAAAAAAAAAAAAAAAATCAACATGAATTTGTACTTCAATGAGTAAACTTTGAATAACCCACCCTTGGGTGTGTGAGTGCAGCTTACCCAGTCATTGAGGCCTTAAGAAAATGAAAGGGCTGCAGCTCCAAACTGCCTTCCACTCAAGAGGGCACCCTTAAATCAGGCATGGTGGTGCACACCTATATCCCAGCCCTCAAGAGGCTGAGGCAGGAGGATCTTAAGTTCAGGGCAACCTGGGCTGCACAGCTAATTCAAGGCAGGCCTAGATTCCATAGTGAGGTCCTGTCTCAAATAAAATAAAATAAAATATTCCTGACAGTTTTCACCCTGCAAGCCTGCCTTACAGATCTGAGACTTGGAAGTTGCCAAGAAAAATCCTACAGAATGAAAGACAATATTTGCAAACTGTTTATCTAATAAAAGACTTTAGCTGGCATATATTTTAAAACCCTTACAACTCCATAATAATAAAAAGACAACCACCAGGCATGGGGCACATCTGAAATCCCAACAGTTGGGGAGTCTGGGGCAGGAGCACTCGGAAGTCTGAGTCTAACATGAGCAACTTAGTGTTTAGCAAGACCCTGTCACAAAATAAAAAGTAGAAAAGGGCTGGGGCTGTAGCTCACTGGGAAGCCCCTGGGTTCAATCCCCAGTACAAAAGAAAAGAAAAGACTAATTTTTGAAATGGCCAAAGGATTAAATAGACCTCTCTCCACAAGCTGTACAGAACGGCCCATAAGCACCGGAAAAGGCGCACATCACTGTAGGTCATTAGGGAAACGCAAAGCAAAGCCAGAGGAGAATAGGGCTTCCTATTCACTAGGGTGACAAAATCCAGGAAGTCAGCTGAAAACCGACCTGGCCAGATTGTGCAAGATCGCCCACGTCCCTTGTCACGGTTAGGAACAGCGCGTGCGCACCCGGGGAAACCAGCTGGTCCAGGGCGTCAACCAGGCCCAGCTGCCTGCTCACAAGCGACGGTGTCCACGCGCACATGCGCACCCTCCACAGCGTGCTCCACGCCTGCCAGAGGAGGGCAGCGGGTGCCCATGGCAGCGTGGACAAACAGGCCGCCCCGTCTGAACATCTCTGCCTCTGGAGCATCTGGCAGTAACAAGCAAGGAAACTGCAACTCAGGCTGCAACCCAGGCGAGCCTGGAAACACTGCTGAGGGGCAGAGGCCAGCGAGGAGAGGCCGGGTCGCTGTGATGCTCAGGCCCGGAGCCAGAGCAGGAGCTGCCGGGCCGGGCGCCAGAGGGCGGGGAGGGAACCACTGCTGACCGGGTCCAGCTTTGCTGGACGGACGCACGAGCTCTAAGCTTAGACTGCCGGACCGAGCCCGGCCCTGCTGCCGTCCTGCTGTCCTCTGCTTACTCCTTCTGCGCTTGGCTCGGCCTCACGACCGAGGGTAACGAAGCCTCCGTCCCAGATGCCCGGCATCAGCAGGGTCAGCCAGCCTCGAGCCCCCTGTTTCCAGGGACACCAAGACAGCCCATCTTCCCTGGATGGCTCGGATCTGGACCCTGGTCTGGGAGGACGCATCTCTGGGGTGTGGAGGGCAGGGCCCAGGTCTTCGAGCTGACACTGCCCTGCAGCCGGAGCCTCCCCAGAGCCGAGTCACAGCCGGCTTCCTCCACGCCATTGCTGGGACCCCAGGGCAGGACAGACCCCACCTGTCCAGCCGGCACTTACCTGTTGGAGGAGCTCACGGAGCCAGAGTTGGTTCTCGCTCCCAGTGTCGGAAGGTCTGCAAAAGCTTCTCACGGGCTGCAGGAGGGAAGACCTGCGCTCCGTCAGCCCGGGTCCAGGTCAGCATGTCGCCCGGGCACGCACTCTGCCCGCTACAGACGTGCTTGGCCCTGAGAGTGGGCGCTCTGGGGCCTCCTGAGAGCTGGCAGGAGCTGACTCCCCTCTGTCTGCCGCCACAGAGGGGAGGAAGGAAGGGACAAGGACGTGCGTTTGAGAAAAATGAGACACGCAAGAAATTTTCAGAAGCCGTCACATGCAGAGAACAAATCCTATGCCTCCGCAGGGTGCCAGGAGAGCCCAGGTTTCTGCAGCCACAGCAAGAAATCAGCAGCGGCCCTGGTGGGGGCGGGAGGCGTTAACAAGCCCGGAAAGGAGCCTCAGAGAGCCAGTAGCTAAGGCAGCTTTGAGAATTTTCAAAAGTAAAAACACTAAACACTTCATTAAATTACAGGTGAGTGGAAAACACGGTTTTAGCAAATTCATACATAAGAAAATTCTCTCTTAATCCAAAGGATATCAAGTCAAACGCCAGGATTGAGACATAATTCCTCAGATGTCAACCAACAGGAAGGGGAGCGAGGTTTGTGCCCTTGTTTTTCTTGTTTTCTTCTTTTTCTGTTTATACACACAAGGCCCAAGTTCACATAGCATCTACAAACCCCCAAAACCTACAGACTTGATAAAGAGCAACACGTTGCCTGTCTTTCAGGAGCGCACACAGGAGTTTTAGAAGGGGTCGGGCTGAAGGCAGACGTGTTCCGAAGACCTCTATAAGTCAGGAGATGGAAGCGGGACCACTGCCCCCCCCCGACCAAGTGAACCCCAGAAATGTCATTACTCGACGCAGCTGAGGGTCGAGTCCTTCCATGTGCTGCACCGAGCCTCGTGCCTGCGTCCCCTCTGAGGCAGGGATGGAGGAAGCCCAGCCTTCCTGGTCGTCTAGCATTGGGGCTCTTCTGGTGGCAAAAAGAAAGAAACCACAGACAAACAGACAGACAATGAATCTGTCTCAGGGAAATGTGGCGTCACCTCCCATGCTCAGAGCCGTATTTACGGTGGTTCCTTGTGTAATCCTGTTTTAATTGTGTGGGTGTAAGATTTTGGATTTATCTACTTTTCGGTGCTGGGACCTGAACCCGGGGCCTCATTCATGCTCAGCACGTGGTCCTCCCGCAGCCCCACTTCCAGCCTTGAGTTTGGGGTCTTAGGCCGTGTCTGCAAGACCAACAGGAAGGTCATGTTTGGGCTTCCTCTGGCCTTTGATCTCCCATCTTTATCTGTTCCTGATTTGGTCTCTGACCCTTGGTTTTCCAAGCTAGACCTGTTGTGGAACCTCTCATTGGAAGAACCTGCTGTGATGGCCACCCTGAAAGACAGTGGGACGTGATCCAGTGACACGGGTCTCATGCAGAGGCCACTGAGATGTGGCGACACTTCTCCCTCTCCAGGTGGTTGGGAAGATGTAAGTGTTAGTGCCAATGTCAGCTCACGGTAAGTGATAAGACCATAGCAGTAGCCAATCGAGGGGACCCTAGGTCTCGTTTCTTCATCCATAGCTGACACACAGCTGGGGCAGAGACAGAAGCAAATCTTGTGAAATTCAGCCCAATCCTTCCAACTCGTCAAGTACCACTTCCTACTTCTCCTACACGTAATAGCAGAATACGACGACAATGTCCTACATGGTTCGTTGAGAACACAACTGCGGCTGCCCTCCTGGGGGTGCCTCAGCAGTCAGGACCCATCCGTTCCCCGAAACTTCTCCCCACTACTAGATCAACCCTGCCTGACAACTTACTTCATCTGTCATATTCCTGGCCACAAATATAAATTTCTAGTATCTTTTAGTTATGGACTATATTTAAGTTATTAAATTTTAAAACTTATGTGAGGGCCGGGGTTTAGCTCAGTGGTTCTGCTGTCTGCCTTGCAAATGCAAGGTCCCGAGTTTGATCCCCAGTACTAAAAAAAGAAAAAAAATTTTAAAAAATAAAACTTATGTGATAGCCATAGCTGACACTGTTAGTGCCCTAATGAAAGTGATGACTAATCTCATCACAAAAGGGCTATGCAGAGTTTCATTTAATGTTGCTTTTAATTTTCAGAGTAGAGTTAGTTGCAAATACCTGGTCACAACTTAGTTCTGCACAGGTTAAACACAATAAACGCAATTCCATAATCACAGACAACATGAACTATGGATAACTCTCTTGCTAGTTCACACTGGAGAGGAGAAAGGACATGGCCTGACCCATGGAACTGTGGTAGGGTTTTGGGGTCACTCCCCCAGGAGGGGCCGTCCTGTTAGAATGGAGAACATGGTACTCTGTCCTGTAGCAGAATTCCCAACCTGAGGCAAAGGTAGATTTGCGTAGCTGTTGTCATGGTGTAGACAGGTGCCAAGGCAGAGACCATTCAAGCCCACTGAGCCCGTTTCCCTGAAAGATGGAAGGAGGCACTTGTGTTTGAAGACTATAAGATGCTAAGAGCCAGCATCCCAGTTCACAGGTGCTGACCCAGAACCTACCACCTGAGTCTGCAGATTGCTTGCTATCAATAAATCACCGCTGGAAAGTTACCCAAACCCCAGGCTGCATTTTGGGTTTTTTTGCATTTGTAAAATGAGAATGATAATGTCAGTATTGGTGATAATGTGAAGATTAATTTGCTTAATTATATAAAATAGCTACATCTCTAGGCTGGCCTTGAACTCACTATGTAGCCCATGCTCATCTCAACTTGTGGCAATCCTCAGCCTTGGCCTCCTGAGTGCTGGGATTTCGGGCATGCACCACCATGCCCGGCTCTCCCTTTTTAAAGCAACCAAAAGATGTAGCTAATGAAGTTTTAATCAGACCTCTTAACTCTTATTGTCACACATTTCCAAGTGTTTTACAATGATTGGCATTTCTGAATATTATTTCTGGGAAGATATTAAAATACAATGGAAGCAAAAGAAAATCTTTTGAACTAAAAATCAGAATACGGAGCCTCATAACTTTTCTCTGTCAATAACTAATTTGATCTTAAGTGATTCAGGTTTTCAGCTTCCTCACCTAAATATCAAGGGAAGTATTGTGGCTGATATCTGGATGTCTCTCATAGCTCATGTGCTCATACGTGGTGCTTTGGGAGGTGATTGGACCATGAGAGTGAGACACTTACACAGGATTGGTCCACTGATGAGTTTATAGCTAAATATGACCGTTAGGAGGTGGAGCCTGGTTGGAGGAGGTGGTCACTAGGGGCGTGGCCTGAAAGGGTCTGGCTCCCTCCTCCTCCCTTGATCTCTCTTCCTGTCCACCATGCTGTGAACTGCTCTCCTCTGCCAGGCCCCCCTGCCTCAGAGCTGGTGACTATGGACTGAAACCTCTACAACTGTGAGCCAAATAAACCTTTCCTTCTTTAAGTTGTGGGTGTTGGATATTGTGTGACAGTGACAAGAAAGTAAGACAGGAAGGCTAATAATCTGTAAGACTTTACCAGCTCTTTCTCCCCAAAGAGTCTGTATTTGATACTATTAGCCTGAAACAATTAGGATGTCATTTTACTACAGAGTATCTTTGTTTTTGTTTTTTTGGTACCAGGGATCAAACTTGGGTCCTTGCACTTGCAAGGCAGGCGGTGGAACCACTGAGCTAAATCTCTGGCCCCAGGATGTCATTTTATTAAAGCCATTTTCAACATGTTCATTTGCTTGAATATGTTAAACTCTTTTTCTTTTTCATTTTTGGTTTGTGGCACTGGGGTTTGAACCCAGGCCCTTTGTACTGAGTTCCACTCCCAGCTTTTTTGATTTTTTATTTTGAGGCAGGTTCTTACTAAATTGCTAAATTGCCCAGGCTGAGCTTGAATTTGTGGTATTTATTCCTGCCACAGCCTTCCAGTGTTGGGATTATAGGCAAGAATCCCAGGCATGTTGGATCAGAAATGTGACAAAATGAATTTTCCATTATAGTTTCAAGAACAGCAAAATGTACTCTATCTAAAGAAACATTTTAGGGCCAGGGATTTAGCTCAGTGGTGCTGCCGCCTGCCTCGCAAGGGCAAGGTCCTGGGTTTAATCCCTGGTACCAAGAAAAATAAAATTAAATTTAAAAATAAAGAAACATTTTAGTAAAATTAGCTTCCAGTTTAGAGCAACTTTCAGACTGAGAATTTCAGGTAAGACTTACCAAAAGGAGAGACCTGGAGGGGACAGGGGCAGCATGTAGGGCTCCCCTAGGAAAGTTTAAGTTATACTTGAAACTTTTTGGCTTTTCTTTATTTTTATTACTATATATTTATGAAACATCATAAGTATATTTGTCCTGGGGAGTTGGTGCATATACATATTGCATGTTGATCCATTTCACTTCCTCAATCACACTTGGGAAAGTACTTGTTTAAAAAAAAAATGGTTGTCTTTGCAAGGAGCACTTTTCATCAGAAGGAAAATGCCAGAGTCAGAGAGAAGACAGAAAGCACCAACCAATTACAATATTTAAAGATAATATCATCTCAAGGAAATGGATGAGCATTTACAAGGAAGGGGAGAGTTGAGTAAGAAAGGGAAAAGAAAAAATAAACATCAACCATAAAAGTCCCAAACTCTGACGAAAGAGTAGAAAGGGGTTTTCCGGAGAAATAAAGGAACAGAATAGAAACTTAGGAAAGAAAAAGATACAAAAGAATGACCCACATGGGATAATGATGTCAAAATACATTGAAGGACCAAGGGTATAGCTTGGGTATGGAGCATGTACCTAGTGTGCACACAGCCCTGGGTAAAGGATAGATGGATGGATGGATGATGGTTGGATGATGGATGGATGGATGATGGATGGTGAGTGGGTGGATGGATGGATGGATGGATGGATAATGGATGGATGATGGATGGATGGATGATGGATGGATGGATGGCGGGTGGGTGGGTGGGTGGATGGATGGATGGTGGGTGGATGAATGGATGGTGGATGGATAGGGTGGAAGAGAAAGAGAAAAAGAGAGAGAGAGAATAGATAGCTACAGATGTGACAATCAGAAAGACATCTTTCACATTCCAAAAAATAGAAGAGTAATGGAAAGCCTAGAATCTGTATGTCACAAAAAGATTTTTTTAAACCTAGATAAAAGGAGACTAAGAGAATATATAATTCTTGATGAAATCCGGGAGTAATGTGGTGGCCCACCTGCATCACTTTCAGCTGCAATATGAAGAGAAAAGACAAAGTCAATGTGGCCAAACGTTGATAATTCTTGGATGTACATGAAGCATCTACAAGTATTCATTGCGTTTTTCTTGTCACCTGACATAGGTTTCAAGTTTCTTAAAATTGTTTCTCAAAAGAAATCCCTCGCGCATCTTTACAACATGTAAGTCATGATATGGATGAAAAAGCAAACTCAAACTATGGAGCACACAGTCTCCAGCTCAACCCTCTGGGCCTCCTCTTTCTGAGGCAGGGAGGCCATGGGAGACCACACAGCTCCTGACGTCCACTGTTCTCTGCAGTGGCACCCTGCCCTCCTGTCACCGAGAGCCTCAGGCTGCCTGTCTCCGGCCCTCCGAGCAGGGCCGTTACACTGTGGTATCGATTGGGTAACATCGAGAGAAAGAAAATGGGAACCTCTAAATGCAAATGAAGCTTGTGGTAAAATCTTTAAAAATTAAAATTCGAAAACAGCCCAGGGGAATTTCTTTTCCTCGACTGAGGCAACAGTGATGCCCTGAATGGACGAACAGGAGGGGGCTGCACAGACAGCACATGGGGAAGAGAAGGGAGCGACGGAGGCGGCCGGACAGGGACCGAGCCCTGAGCACGTGGACAGCTCCCCACGAGGAGCGTCATCCCCGGTACTGGGCTGTGGACTAATTAGAAAATAAGCCAAAGTTTTAAAATGAAAAGATGAATATAGGTAATTGTGCATCTTTTAACCATCTGAAAGATGAAGAACTTAAAAAGGAAGCCTTCTCGAAGGTGGAGAATCTTTTCTGCCATTACCCTGCATCTGAAGCCACAGTGCACATTCGGGCCGGATGGAAGGACAGACGCCCTGCAAGTGTGGCCTGGCTGCACATTGGTGCAGGACCAAGGAGAAAGGCATGGACGACAGGGGACACACTACGTGCAGAGAGAGTCACTGTGAACATTTAGGGAAACAACGACGGGCCAGAGAAGACAGCGCTCAGCAGGGCTGGCAGGCTTGGAAACACGCACCAGGGCTGAGTGCGTCTAAGATTCCTCTTCACTTAGAGCCACGCAGGACAAGGGGGACACTGATGTGAGTCACACGGCCACAGTGGGAAGAGCTGCCTGTGCACCAGGAGTCAGCTGTGTAAAGCGCAAGCACGAGGAGAGCTAACCGCTGGATTGTGAGCAGGGTGGATGAGCACTTTATCCTCTGAAAGACCCCTTAGCAGGTACATGCCTCTCATCCCAGCACCCCGGAGGCTGAGGCAGGAGGGTTACCATGAATTCAAGGCCAGCCTAGAATGCATAGTGAGACTCGGTCTCAGAAATAAATAAATATGTAGAAAGCAAGAGAGAGAGAGAGACCCCTGGCCACTGTCCAAGAGCAGATTTGAGCTCATTGCTCTGTGCCTGGGACAGGGCACTGGCATGGAGGGCAGCAGAGCCCACCTGCAGTGCCCACCTCGGTGCCAGACTCGCCGCAGCCAGTTCCAGCGAGTCTCTGTGCCTTGTGAAGTCTCCTCGAGAGAAGGCAGCGCTGTGCAGTCCGAGAAACTATCGGCGTCCTGTGAGGGGAGTGGAGTGCTGGGCTCCCACGCCCAGGAGCTGAACCTGACCACTCTGTTCCTGTTCGTCCTGTGAGGAGCTGGGCTGACAAGGGCCACGCAGAGGGTTAGGACAAGA